AAAAAAGCGTAAATGAGGTATGTGCAGTGTGTGATGCTCGAAATATTTGAGCAACATATGGGGTATGTTGCTGGAATTCACTTTTAGCAACGTGCCCCTTGTTGCTGAAAGTGAAATTGCCTTTTAGATAGGAGAATATACTGTATAACTTTCAGCAACGTAATTTTTGTTGGTGAAAATTTATATCACCAACAAGACCACCCATGTTGTTGATACTTTGTTGCTAAAAATAAAAATTTTAGTAGTGCTCCAAGCTTTTTCTCATCACCCATTATTCACTTACTCGCATTAATTTACATAAGCCAATGACTTTGCCATCTCTTAGGGTCTAATTGTCTGGGGAAAATGTGATTCGAGCACGATAAAAGAAGTCTAGAGAATAGAAGAAAGGGGAGAGGAATTGGAATGGACAAGGGGGAGGAAAAAGAAAGAAACAAAAGTGCTTTGTTTTGACAAAGGATTGAAATAAACGCCTTGGAGTTGCATGTTCCTAGAGCATGGCAAATGACTCAGGTAATACCTCTGCTTTCGCTTTCATCCTTTGTTTTCCATGTTTTCAACACAGACATTAAAGATCATAGCTCTTTTTATACATGAGAGTGTGTTTGCAGAAGTGGAATTTTATATATGATATAATGATGATATTGATGAGCCTAAATTTCATACAATTATACATGGCTTTTTAGTCATGAATCGGAGTCTTTTATATTTTATTGGAATGATTTTATTTGGTTTTACATTGCTTTTATCATTCTTTGTAGATCGAGGGTAAAACTGAAGAAATCAAGAGTAAATGGGCTGAAGTGACAAAAGTTGAAAACATCAAGTCTGATTCCATTATTTCCCCATTCGAAGACTAGAATTGAATTTTTTGTTCCTCCATACACGTGGGCACATCATTGTGGGCTTTATCTCATTGTGGAGATGAGATGGGCTTTCTAAAGAAGGGCACATGGTTGGATATAAAAAGGGAGGAGGTCGGCAAAACCAGAGAGGGAATTTTGGAGGCAATCGACAGAGAGACGAAAAGGATCTATGAGGCAAAACCAAGGGGGAATGTTGCGTGGGTGACGAGGGGACTAAGGGCAACCACAGAGGGGATTTAATTCGAAGAAGAGGACAAGCGCGACAGTGAAGGCTACAAATCTAATTCTAGTGTTTTGCAAATTGGGTTTTTGCTCTTCTACACTTACTTTTTTCTCTGTTTGGATATGGAATTGTGGTTCATCAATTTAATCTCAGATTTTATCATGTTTAGCATGAACTAATTTAGCCATCTAAGGTTACGATGTAGCCTGATCAATTTAATATAGAATTTCATGATTTGTATACTTTCAAGGGTTATTATTTTATGTAGAGTATATATTATTGTTTTTAATGCTTTTTAATGATTGGCCACCATTAAAACTGATTTGGAGAGCATAATTGAGACCGAGAGGAGATTTTATGCAATAACTTCTAGTAAAATATACCATGAATTGAACGAAAGCCAAAGATGGACCAACGTGATTTGTGCAGCATTAGTGATAAGTGGACTTAATTTTCTACGTAAACTAGGGAATTTCATAGAACATAATGCATCTTTATCTATTTAAATTCATATAGAGATATAGTGGATTAATAGGTGAAGATAGGTTTGGTATAACTTGAGGAAGCATATCGAATAAAATAGGTAATCTCACTGTCACATGAATAGTAAATACCTTGGAAGTATATTGATTTAAATTCTATATTAGTTGATTATGGTGAAGTCGGATGCCTTAGACTTTTAATTCTCGGTGTTACTCAAAGTTAATTTAGTTTTTCTTTAATTAGTTTAGTTAGTTAATTTATTCAAATTATTCAATTTCAATTGTTCAAATAAAATTAGAATTCATTAATTTTGGTACTTAATTAGTCTATAGTCTATGAGACGATACTCTATTTTTATCATTATATTACTTGAACAGACTAGTACACTTGCTAGAATGGAATTAGCTCATCAGATATGAAAAAAAAAAAATTAGAAATTGATAGTATTTATCAGATTTAGGAAATGATTATATCATCAAATTCAATCTTTGGGAGATTATTGAAAATAAAACAAAGAAAATATGAGGCCAGGAAAAGAAAGACTACCAATTCACATTTCTACTCTTCATGTCCTGTGTTTCTAATGTATAAAACGAAGAGTTGTGCCGCATAGAATAACCTTGATGGAAGTCCAGGAAATGAAACAATCCATTTAATAATATAAGATATGCAAGCATAAGCAGGTTTTGGTATAAATGACCTTCATTCTTCCCGATCCCAGCACGCGTCTTCTTTCTTTCCTCTAAGGCTGTCCTACATCTAATTAACCCCGTTGTTTGGCAGGTTCCTAACTGGTTGACATATGATTTTCCTCCAGCTATTAAGACCAAAGTGAATCGCCTCTGGGGAGGTGAATGGCATGGGCAGGCACAGAAGTGGTTTATTTCTTCTTGCCTTCTTTTCTTTTTCTGTAGAAGTACATTTGTGGCCTAGATTTGCTTTTGTTTATATTTGCATTCACCCTACTAAGAGAGTAGCTTGTGTAGATCAGTTGACGGCTAAAACTACAGACATAGAGGGCCAAGAGTCATTACCAGTTATGGAGATTATGACTAGAAAATAAAAAAGCACGCTTCATGTGCGTGTTAGTACTTAGGGATATAAAAAAGCTTTTTCATTAAACCCAAGAATAGTTCTTTAGTTTTGATACGAGTCCCTTGATGGATTACTAATGCTCTTCAAAACACCATATCAAGATTTATTTTAATACAAGGCTTTTAGGTCTTTCATTATCTTATTGATAAATACATGCCTTCCTCGGCATGTTTATTCCTATAGAGTGATGGTTTATAGCTGATGCTAGTATCTTTTAGGAAGCAGAAACTTTTTCCACTAAGAACCAAAATTATATCCTTGTTCCAATCCTAAAGGTGGAGCACTCCAAATTGATGGATGAGTTATTAAAGCACTTAAGAAGCATGAAAGACTTGATTCTAATGAATATCATATTTTAACTTTTGAACAACTTATGTTCTATATTTATCAGGGTTCATCTTTGAAATACTGATGAAGCTTAATCTTGCCTTTTTGAAACAATAAATAGTTACTCTTTTTTGTTGTCTAATTTCACTAAAATACTGATGAAGATGTATGAGTTTATTATGTTTTTATCTAGTTTATGGCCTAACAAGAAATTTGAACAAATTGACAGGTCTCTTATGTGATTAACAAAGGATGAAAGTGAGATCAACTTGGCAACTGGGGAAGCAGATCCAGAATTTGCTGAGTGGAAATGGGCAAACCCTGAAGAAGTTATAGAACAGGTAATCTGCCATGCATTCACTATGATTAATTTTCTTTGATTTTTTGCATTATATGAAAAACTTTTAAGATATTATATAAGAAAAATTGTGACAAGCAGTGGACTACAAGAGGCCAACATATGAGGTAGTCATGAGGACATTCAAGCCCTACCTTGATGATGGTAAAGCTGGAAAATGTAAATCGATAAAATGGTAAATGTCTTGGCCTGCTCTTGTAGGTCTGTCCATGCCTTTGCAAGTGGAAATTGAATTTGAACTAAGTAGAAGTTCGCTCTCTGTAAATGGATGTGGCAGTTAGAAGTTAGAACTACCAATTTAGATGATTGCTCATTTGTGATAAAAAAAAAAAAAAAAACCCTTGTGCAGAAATATCTATTTTCTCAACAAAAAAGAAAAAAAGAAAAAAGGAAAAATAGTGGGGAAAGTTGCATGTTCTGGAATTTGGATTGAGCATCTCTGTTTAGATGATGAGATATGAGTCTCACCATGTACCCACAGACAAAAAGAACTGCCAATTTTCTGTTTGTAACTAGTTGTGAGATAACCATTTTGCTTGCCTATTCAATTGTTCAGTGGTAGGAGTATATACGATATTATCTAGCATATTGCCAAAATTAGAATAATGAAGGTAGGAATATATATGATATTGTCTAGAATGCTTCCAGACTTAGAATAATGGAGGTGCCTTATTTCTGCTGCGTGCAAATTGCAGGTAGATGGAACAAGGATCTTGTATCTGATCTGAGGCACCATTTTGATTTCCTAAGATCTTATAATCATATTGCCTGTCAATTTTCTCCTTGCCAATATGCATTTTTGGTATATTTTGAATGAAAATGAAATTTGTTCCATATTCCATACGATATGAATCTACCCTAAAATCTTTACATTTTTTAAGTAATGTTTTGTTCAATAAGAAAATGAAATTTGTTAATGGCCCAACTTGTTGGGTGGTAAGTTCCTATGTATGGAATAAAATTTATGCATGTCACTTTCCTTTTTTGGCCAACATGCTGAAGTCACGTTTGGTAGGACCACAATGAAATGGAATGGAATGGACCTTACATTTTCATCCCCATACATGTATTTTACCGTAAATTAAGTATATTTTCTTGCCATATTTAACGGAGCAAATTTAACCCCGGAAACGAACAATTGCTGAGAGAAATGATCCCTCTAACTCGACATTCTAAAGCATAGTTTTGAAAACCGGATTGGTTGGTCAAATCGGTTAAATCGGTATTTGGTAGTCTAAATGGTTCGAGCAAACCATTTATACTGTTTGAATGGTTAAATTATTTGAAACCATTAAAAACCATTCTAACCGCTTAAACCAATAAATCGTTTGATCGGACAGTTTAACACTTGAGCATAAAATCTTAAGAAATTTGTCTCCAACAAGGTTTGAATCTACAACCTTAAAACCCATACTTCAATTCTTTACCACCAGAACGATGTGATCCTTGAGTCAATGGTTGCTTGGAATTTTATTTAACTCATACAAATGTTAAAGATTTTTTCTAAATTACCGATGACAACCACAAGATTTGAACACCCATTCTCCCTAGTATGGAGCTAAGATTTTTCTTAGCTTAATCCACAACGTTTCATTTGCAATTCTATACTTTATAATATATTTATTCTACTTTTGAAAGCATAATTAAAGTTTGTTTTAAAAGGGATTCAAACTTGGGATCTCTTTTATGGGAAGTAAACTGCCCACCAATGCAACTAGCTAGCACGATGTGAAATGATTTGCAAAATAATATATTTATAGTATTTTGATCAACCCGATGGTTTTTTTCAATTAAATCGATTAAATCACTCAAACCACAAATCAAAAGTTAAAATGGTTTGACTTTCGGTTCAAATTTAAAAATATTAGTCTAAAGTGAGGATCACGATTCCCTGTTTGGGAAATGGGCATTGATTCCACTCTCGCAATTCTACCTTTTTTTTTTTTTTTTTTAATGTTTTACCTCATGTTTCTAAACTAAAAATGTTTTTGTGCAGTATGGCAGTGTATCTATTGTATAATTTAAGCTTTGTTTGACAATATTTTTTAAT